TATATATATGTATATATATGTATATATATACATATATATATATATATATATATATATATATATAAGATGCTTGAACAAACGCGCATTTGTTTTAGCAAAATACGGGATCAAAACAAAAAGAGTTTTTGGTAAAGCAATAGCAGAAGTCACAAATCGTCAAAAAAGTGTGCGGACAGTAACGAGAAAGAATAAAGTTGGTCATTAAGTAGACAACGAAAAAGTGAAATGCCAGTGAGGCGAGCGCGAATGCTAGTAATATTTCCAGATGCCATGAAACTGCTAGTGCCACTGTAACGAAATTTATCACTTCTCAGTTTACAGCACTCTTTAATTCATTATTGAAGAAATCACTTTCGAATGATATGCCTGTGCACGTGAACCGCGACCCCAAATAAAACTGAACTTTGCATAATATGCCCGCCACAGGATTCGCCTCAAATCTGACTCAGTAGCTGAGGAATACATGCAAACAAATGAGCAGAAATAACCGAAACTCTAGCACAAGTGCATGAAAAAGCCGAACACGAAGGTTATTTTCGAGACAAACAAAGAAGTGAGAAACATACATGTGCTTTTCACATTCAAATTTGCCAAGATATCGATGCGAGCCCATAGGGATTGGATCTGGGAAGACGCCTTCTACGAAGTCTTCCAGATGAAAATTAACAGGAGTTCCTGAAATTAGAGCTTCCAAGAAGAATGACAGCATGCTTCTGGTTTCTACTGCAGCTAATATTTTTGCTTTAGATAAAAAAATTTTTAATTTATGACCATTTGTACTTATTTTACATTGAACTGCTCCTTTCAGCAGCGTTTTAAAGCTGTCACAGGAGTTCAGCGAAAAACTGGCAAGAATATGTGCTGTGTGAGACAGTATAGGTTAGAATGCATGCGAGTGGCATACACATAAATACAAATGCTTCTATTGCTCTGTGGATTACGGCGGCCGGCAGTGCAACGGACAACACGTTACAGGTCAAATGATCCGGAAATATTGAAAGCGAGTAGTCTGACTGCCTATCGGTTCACACTATTCCTCCTCATAGGTTTCGTCCGCAGAAAAAGTGAAACGAAACATATACACTAAGCGCTTAGCAAGTGGCAAGGATATCAAGTCTGCACTGGTATTGCATCAGGAACGCTCGGCGGACACAAGGAAAACCATCGGTGGGAGTGAAGGAACTGCTTGAAAACCCCTAAATTAAATGAATGCCACAAAATCACAAATGAAGAGTTCAGAGGGGCCGTAAACTACATCAAAGGCAATAAAATATGCCAGTGAAGTAGCATAGATCAAAGATCGTTCTTGGCAATTCATAAGAAATTGGCAATTAAACTTGAAAATTTTACTTCTGCAATAGTCTAGACTGAACACGTAGGAAACAGGAACGGGCAATGGACTCAGTGCAACTGTTTCGGTTTTGATCGAACTCATCAGATCAAGGAATTGCTTCCGTGCTTGGATCTCTCCTTCGAAACTGATTTCGCTCGTTTGATCACATTCACTGCTGCAACAGCATCAATATTATCCTTCTCCGAAACTTGCAATTGCTAGGATGCAAAAACGCATAAAAATGACCTCATTTTTGCAACACAGCAATATGAAATTGAGATCAAATACACTGTGACGCTCGAAAGTTAATCGCAGGATATTTGTCTCACGTTATCTGAAGAACTGGCTTACAACACATACTTCGCTTGTGCATCTTCTTCGTATTTTATCGTAAACTGGTATGTTTCCAGGACCTGCTGTTTATCACGCTTGTTGATAAGATGTATTTTGAAATGGCGCAGCTAAAACAATGAAAAATCTGCAATTGAAGTTAGTCTTTAATGCGTTACGATATAGCAACAGGATGCGTTTACTCATCAAACAGGACTTATACACATCCCAAGAACGATGAATGCCGCACCACACAGGTAAAACAAACAGTTCTTCCTTTCTCACCAGCGCTGTACTCTTGAAACGTATCTGTGAATTATTCCTAGTTTATTTCAGTACTGCATCGTCCGGACTGCCTGCTTCATATTACTAGCGCGGTAAATTTCTCAACCTCCAGCATGAGAGTAGGTCTGTGTTTCATCCCTCAGACAAAAACTGAAAAATGTGAAAACAAAAAACAGAACGAACATATTTCATTTCGACCGAATCCATAACCTTAGAAAAATATCCAATAGTTTTCTGGCCCATCTGTGTGTTCGGACGAATGATATGAATCGCCAGATCTAAAAATATTTCCCGTATGCCAAATGCAAATAAACTGAACCATTTGCAGAGTGGAAATGATGAACTAGAGACGTCGTAACTAAAGAAGCGGCCAATGTTTTCTTTTACTTTTGTCTGGCAGAAACCCATCCAAAAGAAAGACCGGCTTAGAAGAAATCCATCCAACAGAAAGGCCGAAGTTAAATATAGGCATAAGAAATCAGCATCTGATCAGCAAATTGGGGGAAACCGTAATCAGCAAATACGGATAATTGGCCAACGCACGGGCTGCCCGTGCGAAGATGCGTTTTTTGCATGGCTCCCCGCAGTTTTTG